TACGGTCTTTTCTCGTGGCGCGATTACGTCAACCATTAAAATCGAATCTGGTTTCTAGGCATTATCTCGTCTCTAGTCGAGTGCTTTGTGGCTCGTATTTATTTGCCATATTTCTGCTGAAAATTCTGCTGATAACAGTCTTGCGACATGACACGGTTTAATAAATAGATCTCAAGAGTCAATCCCACATTTGTTACGTCGTCTTTGCAATTGGGATTCAATTAAGGGATTTAGATAAAATTTATCTTAACGCACGATTAACTGTACCATTGCACACTGCGGGAGAAAAATACGAAACTCGATGATCTCGACAGGCGAATTTCTTGTGACTCTGTGTAAAATTTCGTCGATTATTGAGACTTATCAATCGCGGAAATTTTTGAAATTTCGGGCGTCGAACGCCGAGCGTCGGTTTCGAGAAATGACAGCGCCATAAACTTCAGTCGAAAACAGTCTATGCTCATTGTGCCTAAAGCCCGTATCAGACTACAGACTCCCTCTGACTCGACTACTGACTCGGACTCCCGATAATTCAACCAATTAGAGCGGCGTCTATTCCCGAGTCGGTAGTCAGGGTCGGCCGGTGCTTTGCTGTGATTGGTTGAATCATAGTCGGGAGTCCGAGTCCGAGTTAGTAGTCGAGTCGAAGTCAGTAGTCGAGTCAGAGTCAAGAGTCTGTAGTCTGATACGGGCTTTAGAGCGGCGTCTATTCCCGATTCGGCAGTCAGGGTCGGTCGGTGCTTTGCTGTGATTGGTTGAATCATAGTCGGGAGTCCGAGTCCGAGTCAGTAGTCGAGAGTCTGTAGTCTGACACGGGTTTTAAGATTAACGCTGCGACAGTCGAACGGGTCGGTCAACGGCCCGCGCCGCTCCGCATATCGTATTATTCTTGATAGGCGTTTGCGACAAGTACGGGAAGAAACCGCGATCGCTCCCGAATAATCAGTGATCGATATCGCGTGATCAGAGTTTATTTATACTTAAGATCATTTCAACTGCTAAAAACTTAAATTGTACAGTAAAGAATGCTGCTCTGTAGTTGCACAGATTTAGTTTTCTTCTCATTCTCACAGCCAAGATTGATCCTTGCGAAAGCTTTATCACGGAATTTCATACAGACTCAGTAATCGATTCTTGATCTATAATTATTTCAAATAATAAATTCGAGAAAAACACGTATGTTTATGATAATTTTTTAATTTCATATTTTTGTTTGTCACGAAGTGAGAAGAAAACGGAAAGAAACCAGTTACTCTTGTGACAAATCTGACTTGAAGTCTGAGAATAGATTTTTAAATCGTTAAAATTAAGAAATTACTGTAATTTCGTATAATACATTTAATAATTTTGTAAAATATTGCAGTGATTAATACATATCAATTATTCAAATTAAAAGAAACGAATAAATTCGTTTCACAATTGTGACGGTGAAAATTTGTTAATGGCAACACACATTTACATATCAACCACATTAAAACATATTTTTCCGTATATAATTCAATTTCCATTTCTACTTCAAAACGTTCTCTTAATTAAAACGGAAATAGTCGGTCTTTTATACGCTAATGTGTTTACAAAACAAAATGTAATTATACACAAAAATATTATACATAAAATTTGTTATGGCCGGATTAGTTGACGCATCTTGCGGCACGCAGGACCACGAATGACAACGGCACCGCCGCGCACTGTGTTGTCATTCGTGGGAGGAGATTCTAGTTGATAGGTAAGCGGCTCCGTGTGTCGTGTTACAGTGACGTAAAACGCGATTATTGTCTGCATACAATTAAGGCCCGGTTTCACCAAACGTCGTTTAACTTTAATCTTAGTTTAATTCACGTTAGTCTCTTTCTAAAGTGATAGTTGAAAAGAGGCAAAGAATGAATTAAGCTAAGCTTAAAGTTAAACAGCGTTGGTGAAACCAGGCCTAAGCCAACGGCACACGATACTATTTTTCCTACTGGATTGCTTATGAGAGCCCATCAGGATGCGGAGTTAGATCAGGTGACTTAAAGCTAAATCCTGATTGGCTCTCCAGGGAATCCAGTAGCAAACATAGTATCGTGTGCCGTTGGCTTAGCTACTGGTCTGCGCGACAAATTAATATTCACGATTAACGGACTGCATATGTATTTTGTCGATGCAAGTACTTCGCGCAGTCTCGTTCAGCTACGGAGAATGCTAATAATTATTATGAATTATCGCGTTTTATCGCGATATTCACGTGCAGGCGATAATGATCTCTTTAACGTTTAAATTCGAAAGTAGGTATCTCGTATCGCGCTACGAATTTCCCCCCCCCCCCCGAGTTAAATGTAATTTGCTCATTACTTTCGGATGGAGAGAGCGCGCGGTAATGCACGAATCGCCGGATCGAAATAATGGAAAATGCGATATCGATCGTTTATTAATATTACGTCTCATTGAATTCATACATCGAAATATGTTGTGCGTGCAACATTGAGTTTTGATTATGTATTTCCGAACGATTGCATCAGCTGCGTATTGCAATGCAATTGTAAATTTGTCAATTCTTTGCACGTCATTCGTGAGTTGTGTTCACTTTTCGTTGTCTTCGTGAGTCCGTTGCGTCAATTTGCGAGATCATTGAGTTTCGTAATTTTTTTATCGCGTTATTCTTCCGCAGTGCAATAGTAAAATTAGTCGCGCGTTTCGTTTAATATCGGGTGTGCCGTGTGTTTATCCTGTTCCGACGATTACTATACAATCGTAATTAACGTGTTTTTGCAGTGTCGTGTGAATGCAACGAGCGAGTCTGATACAAAAGGAAGGCCTAGAAGAGCAACGGCGAAGTAACCAGTGGGGTGAGTAAATTATTACATCCATTTAACAGTTCTTTTAGATATAATTATTCTGGGTGTTGGTATAATTTATGTTTCTCTTTTATTATTGGCTGAGGAAAGTCCTCTATTATGAGATAGGCTCCTAATATAAGATAGCGGAGTTTCTGTTAAATCATTAGGCATCATTTGTTGGTTCCACCGTGAATTTATTGCCCTTGGAGTGAAATCTTTTTAGTGGAAAATTGATCATTAGATCGTGTACCTGTTGCGAAAAAAGATTTGTGATCGAACTTGGACGTTGAAAAGCTGCTATCTCACAGTAGAAGCCTATCTCATAACAGGGGATTTTGCTCTACGTGTCGTGTAGTTTTAATGGAATCGCAACTCCGCACTGAAAAAAATTTCTGGTTGAATATGGACGAATCAGATAATTCCTTTAGGATTTACCAGAATTCCTTTAGGATTTACCAGAATTTCTGTAGGATTACAGGAATTCTGGTAAATCCTAAAGGAATTCTGGTAAATCCTAAAGGAATTATCTGATTCGTCCATATTCAACCAGAAATTTTTTTCAGTGCGGCATTGTGCATCGATAAGTGTTATATTATTTTTCATTTCGTCAAGGTAACAGACCTATGTGAAAAAAGTTATACATGTGGAAATACGCATGTAACAAGTTACTCTTTGAAACAAATAGAACAGGAGTAGGATTACTAAAAATATTTTATCTTGGAATTAGTATATGTATATGTTGAATTTCTTTAATAAACACGTGTAAGATTTTCAGAAAACTGATCAAGAACATCACAAAGCTAAATTAATAATTTTACATATAATAATTTCGTTATAAACTGGTAAACAAATTATAATGGATTTGATTTTCGAGTTTATCCAATTATTAATGGATCAGTTTAGTCGATCTTAACTGACACTTGTTTAATAAATTAAAAATTAAAAATATAACGTACGTTTCGACCACGGGTTTGGATCCTTATCAAGCACAAATTCTAAAAGGGACAAACCAATAATCGGAGTTACACACTTATCATAGATACAAATAAAATTGCAAGTAAAAATTAAAAATTACAACTAATTGTACAAAAGTAATGTGTAAAATGAGACGCAATAAAATAAAATAATCTAATTATTGGTGAAAAATAAGGAAAGATGGAAAGTAAAATAAAATTATAACAAGTATAAAATACTGATATATATATTTTTTATATTTTTAGATATAAAAATTTCATTTAAAACTTTTCATGGTATGTATTCGTATTTCATGAATGATGCAGATTGAGATAACATGCATATGTACTCTCTGTATACCCTCCGTATATTTACGAGAAATAAAAATAAATTGTAGGATCGTAGTAGGGAAAAATTGATTTAATTGTGTTACTTTATTTGCTCTTCTATTTTTTTAAAGAGAATTTAAGATTCACGTTTTGGATCTCTATACGCTTCCGAAATAAAATTACGTAAACTGACGTACGAAAGCAGTACTTTGTCAAATCGTACAGTTTTTCGATGCATTTTGCAAATAAAAAACGAATAGAAAATATTTTATCACCAATAGTATATGCAAATATTGCAACTAATGTCTTTAATAAAAAAATACGCTAATTAAGTTTATTCTAATAAAGTAGCCAGTTTTATTCAAATTTATCACAGCTTATCCATCCTTCTTTATTGAGAATTGATTTGATATAATTTAACGAAGACATTTAATAAAAGATCCAATAAATCTCGTTACGTATATAATATCGCGGAGTGCACAAGCAATCGTACAATACTTTAATAAATCAGGTTTTGAATAATCGTCTTAATGTACGTCTATGATACTTCATTCTGAGTACCTTTGATTATGAGATTTACGCAATAAAAATAAATACGGGCCTGCATTTTCATTGATCGCACCTCTTTTTCTTTCTGTTTTATTACGAGCGGTTGCTGTGAATCGAGACACTTGATTAAAAAATGAATATATACCTAGCGGGGTTAAATAAAACACGATGAGATAATAATAACGTTGCGACACATTGCAAGTGTGTGAGAGATACCGTGATACCCCTGCGGAAAAACTTTTTCCGCTCGGCACTTTCCGTGGTGGAGTAAATGTTAATTCTAGTAAATGTTAATTCAACATACATAGGACTTTGATTCGACATTACAACGTATCTCTGAAGCGTTTCTTACCGTCGCTACTACATCGGGAGTCGACCTTTCTCCTTTTCAACTTGAGGTCTTGAAACAAGCTCATGTTTTCTATCTCACACGGGCTGCTCGGAAGGGTCATAATTCCTGAAAGCAAAAAGCAATAGAAGGATTAGCCTTGTTGTTTGTTTAAATGAATTATTCCTAACTGGGAAACGATTTACGCAATTTATTTCTAAACGATCTTGTATTCGTGGAAATGTTTCAAGCGGCGCTAAATTGAAATAAATTCGTATTTCCATACTTGAATAAATTCGTATGTCGTATGGAAGTAATCTTCATATTTATTTCTAATTTATGTCTAAATGATCTTGTATTCGTGAAAGTATTTCAGGCGGCGCTAAATTGAAATAAATTCGTGTTTCCATACTTGAATAAATTCGTATGCCGTATGGAAGCAGTCTCCATATTAAATTCGAAATGATTAATTTAATTTGTGTGATCACAACCTTTAGTTACAACTCAATTAGTCTTTACTGATCACACGTGCATTCAAGAGATGAATAATTTCATCCTTCTTGTATAACTGAATGCATATGTGTACAATATGTACTGAAATTCACATTACTGAATTATTCATTGATGTTATCTAAATTATCAGTCAAATTCAATTATTTATCACGGATAAATTAATCATTTGAAAAAGGTGCTACGCAGAAATATTCTATATTATCCTTTTCTGAAAAAGAGATGTTACCAGTGCGAATGTCGTTAATATCGAACAGTTGACGCCTCTTTTCCGCGATGCCGATTGGTCTTTTCGAAGCGCGGTGTGCTTCACTTTTCTTTTAGATTCGTAGTAAATGAAGATTTGTAATTTAGAAATATACATTTGCATACACCAACTATTGAGGTAAAATCTTAAATCTTAGTAGTTAGAATGTAAGTGACAATGATTTTTGTTCCGATACATTTTCTCGAACAGAATTAATCGTTAATTTAAACAATACCAATAAGTCCGCAGAATGATACACAAAACGTAGTAACAGTCACGGAACAAAAGAAGCCACCGAATTCTCAACGTTCGTTGTTTTTCTCTCGGCGCGGTGACGTACGATGTTTTTGCGTACCATCGTGTACCTGAAGGTCGCTGTCACTCGCTCGCCGAACGTCGAGCCGGCAAGCAGTGGCGAGAGTCGCTCCGCGCGTGGTATTACTTTTGCGTTATCGGCTTCCAAGACTCGATCACGATAGATGCAGGGATAAAACACTATTGATTTGCACACCTTCGTCAGTAACAAGTAACGTTCCTCGATTAATTATTAAGTTTCTACAACTTGTAATGAGAAACGCATTGCACGTTGAGACGGCTCTTTACCAACGTATATACATAGATATTTCGCGACACTAACTCATCTAAAATATAAATGTAAATCGTGGTACTTTGTCGCGGTTGCATCTCGTTTACGCACCGCGCTTTTAATTATCTATCGATTTCGTGTAATCGGTACCATTTTCGGGAAAAGAGAGAAATTTGTGCGACTTCGGCGTTCGCGCTGTAATTCGCTCTGTCGTTCTTCGCAGCTCGAACGGCCAGGAAGTAAAGAAAGTCGCTTATCACATTGTGTAAATGTAATCGAAAATTATCTCGATCAACTGTGGTAATTAATAACAACTATAATTTATCGCTGACAATTTCGTTCACATAATTTATTACGAGGATTATAAAATATCGTTTCGTTGCGGACTAAGAACTTCTTCTTTACCGCAGATTATGCTTCCGATGCTCG